AATATGTGCAACTGCAAAATTCCCCCTCCCCATTTCCAGACTGGGGACTTCTGCCACTGCTCCCAGAGCACAGGAAATAATTTAAAAGGCTAACACGGTGACCCTGAGCCATGACCCAAGCTGAAATCAAGAGTCAGATGCTAAACCCACCAAGCTGCCTAGGCACTCCCCCCTTTTTTCTAATCAAATTTAGGGGAGTATAATCTAGATGCCAAAACACGTACCCATTTTAAGCAAACCCTTCAATGAGTTTTTACAAATGTATACACCCATGTAAATACCACAAGCATTCATAATAAAGAACATTTTTATTAACCCAAAATGTTCCCTAGGCCCTTTTGCAGTCAACCCACCCCAATTTCTGGCTCTGGACAAACACTATAGATTAGAGTTCCATTTAGGGATTTACATAGATGGAATCAGACAGTATGCCCTCTTTGACTTCTTTCTCTGAACATAATGATTTTTTGATGCACCAATCACTCCTCTTCACCACTCAATAGGATTGTCACTATAGATTAGATTTGTCTTTAGAGAGATTTACACAGAGGAAACAGATAATAGACACTCTGATTTCTTTCTCTGAGCATAATTATTTCTGGATGCATCAATCATTCCTTTTCATTGCTCCATAGGATACTACTGGATAGATACACCACAATTGATTTATCCATTATTCACCTGTTGATGGACATTTTGATTGTTTCCACTTCATGGCCACTGTGAATAAAACTACTAGGAACATTGTTATGTAAGTCTTTGAGTGAATATATGTTTTCCTTTCTCCTGAATAAATATCTTGGAGGGAACAGATTGCCGGATTGTATGGTAAACTGTACGTTTAACTTTACATTTTCATGAACAATGGCTTGAAAGTTTGAGTTGCTCCACATCCTCGCTTGATTTTGTCAGTCTTCTCAATTTTAGCATTCCAGCGGTTATGTAGTAGTATGCTGTGGTTTTAATTTGAAGTTTTCTGGTGACTAATGATGCTGAGCAGCTTTTCATGTGCTTACTGGCCATTCATGTATCTTCTTTTGTAAAGCTTCAGGTCAAACTTTGCATCCATTTTTTAATTGGCTAGTGTCTTGCCACTGAGTTGTGCCTTATGTAGTCTAGGAAAATGTCCTATGTCAGATATATGCATTATAAATATTTTCTCCCAGTCTGTGGCCTGAATTTTCATTTTCTTAATTATGCCTTTTGATAACCAGATGTTTTAACTTTCATCAACTAACACATAAATGTGAGTCATTTCTGTACCTTATATTCTTTTCTGATCTGTAGATGTCCATTCTCACAATGATACTATTAAGGCACCGCATTCAAGAATGCACTGATGCAATAAAGTAGTGTAGGTTCTCTACATATTTTTTGGTCCATAAAATTGTTTTGGCCAGTCTAGATTCTTTGCATTTCCATCTGAATTTTAGGATAAACTTGTCAATTACTACAAATCAAGCCTGCTGGGATTTTGATCAGAATTTCATTACATTTACAGCTTCATTTGAGGGTCTGATAGGTGCCACAAATTGTTCTAATTTGGGGGCACTACCTCCGACTGGATGCTCAGAGAGGGGCTCACGGAGATGACCACATGAGAGTAGAGGTAAGGACAAGAAGAGAAACATCAGAAAACAGAAGATAAGAGCTTCTCAGACAGAGCATCATAGGACAAAGTGTATAAAAACTGTGTTCAAAAACACAAGGAAGGCCAGTGTGGCTAAAATGTAGTGATAATGAGAATGCTTAAAGATGAAGTTGATTCAGAAGACAGGCACTGAGGTTTTGAAGTGTTTCTTTTTTTTAATTTAGCTTCACTATTCCTCCTTATATTATTTTTTATTCCTCATATTACTTAAGTTTAATATTATCTTAGGTCTTTTTAAACTATTATTTCTATTTAGTTTTGGCACAGAGTCGCCAAATTGTTCAATCCACTAGATTCCTTTTATTCTGTTTAGTTATCTTCTAAAGCTGTGTATATATTACTCCAAAACAAATGCTAACCAGCAAAAAAAACTCAATCATTTCACAGTGTTCTTCATTCAAAATAAAGCATCCAACCCAGCTGATTTTGGCGAAATGACTCAATGTTTTGACATGCAGGCAGAAAACAAGAGTTATTTTGTTTATCTACAGAGTTGCTATCTCCCTTGTACCACAGGAAATTCAGAGGGACTCCCATGGCAATAATTGAATAGCTTTTCCCTCCTGCTCACTAGTGTGGTCTAGAGAAAAGGGCAAAAACAAAGTTAATGAACTTTTAACAGGCATTTACAGGAATTTCTAAAGAAGTTTTATCGATGTTCTAAAAACGATTTCCTAAATGTGGAAAATTTATAGTGGGTTTTCTTCTAAGACAGAACGGTCAATCTTGCAAAGTTCTACAGAAGAAAACTTTTTATGCCTAAAATACCATAAATAGAATTCAGAATACAATGTAACATGTTAATTATCCTTGATTGTTATTTATTTTCCATCATTCATTTTCAATTTGAGGTGCTAATATATTATAGTTTAGGCACCATTTGATGTTTTATATTAAAATACATTAATAAAAGATTACTCCAAGAACCAAAAATATAAACAGATCTAGAAACTAAAATGTTGTTTCTTCAACTTTGACTCATTCACGACAAAAATGGCTAACAAGGAATCTTACACCCACCCTGACCAATTTTAATTAGGGAAGAAGAAAAAAAGAACAAAGAGAAAAAAACTGCTTTTTGTTCAGCACTATTTTTAATTTCTCAAATTTCTCATTACCACATGGAAGATACCAGTCAAAGGCACACAGGCCTGATTTTAGATCTTTACATGATCTGAAGAGTATTGTCCTAAACACTGACCTATTCAGATACTACTCCTGCTGACCATACATATATCTTCTCAAAATCACATCCTCAGTGCAAATAAAACAACACTCCTTGTGTTGATTAGTATAATTCTCTTAATATATTTCCTTCACCAAGGATAAAAAAATATTATTTTTTAAATATTTTATTTATTTGAAAGATACAGTATATTTCCCTCACCAAGGATAAAAAAAATATTTTTAAAAATACAGTATTTATTTGAGAGATACAGAGAGAGAGCATGAGTGGAGAGAGGAAGAAGCAGACTCCCTGCTGAGCAGGGAGCCTGATGCGGGACTTGATCCCAAGACCCTGAGATCATGACCTGAGCCGAAGGCAGACACTTACCTGACTGAGCCACTCAGGCACCCCAATATTTCAAGATTTTTATTAAAATATGACTTTCAGCAGATACTAAACACAGCAAACAGACTGACACAGGCATAATGTCTTTCAAATGGCTGCACTGATGACAACCTGATGTTATTCCTCTCCTAATATGATACATAGAAAGTACAAACCTATTAAGTACTCTTGCCAAAAAGTCAATCAGAATCTAAATCAAATCTCCACACCTCAGTTTATAAGAAACACATGAGATAGAGGAACAAATTAAATGACATCCGCAAGGGAACAATCAAAAAGAAAACTGGTCTAGACTCTTCAAAAAGGTCAGTATCATGAAGGATAAAGTAGGGGACCTAAGTAGACACTAAAGAGATATAACAAAAATATGGAATGTATGAACTCTGATTGGATCCTGGTTTAAAAAAAAAAAAAAAAAACTGTAAAAGACATTTCAGTGAAAATTAGAAAAATCTAAATAGGGACTGCATATTAGTTTACAGAATTGTTAATGTTCACAGATTTAATAGTTATGGTCTTTATTAAGAGAATATCCTTATTCTTTTTTTTTTTAAGTAGGCTCCATGCCCAACATGGGGCTCGAACTCACGACCTAGAGATCAGGAGCTACACGCTTCACTGACTGAGCTAGCCAGGTGCCCCAAAATATCCTTATTCTTATAAAAAGCATGCTAAATTAGGAGAGAGGTATCATTATGTCTACAACTTACTTTCAAACAGATCACAAAAAAAGAAATTTAAGTTTATAATTACATGTCAGTGTATGTATATGTATGTATAGAAATAGATAAAGAAAACAATTATTGGAATTTTTTATCTAGCTAGCAGGAACACAGGGATTGAACTATTATTTCAACTCTAATATAGATTTGAAATTTTTAAAAGTATAAATGTCCTTCTCCACCTCTAGGTTATAAAGATACCCTTCCATATTTTCTTTTATTAACTGTGTAGTTTTACATTTCACACTGAGATTTTTTTTAGCTCTCTAGAGTCCATCTTTGTATGTGGTATTAGATACAGATCATTTTCTTTTCCTCTAGAGAATTCCAGCTTTCTCTATAGAATCCACTAACCAATGGGTGCAGTCCCCACTGATTTGTGAAAGAATGATTTTTGGTCCCACTGAAAGACCTAATCAGAGACAGGGGAAAAGGAACAAGAAAGTAGGGGGGAAAAAAAAAAAAGGAAAACAGAAAAGGGTAAAGGGAGGGACGCCTGCGTGGCTCAGTCGTTAAGCGTCTGCCTTCGGCTCGGGTCGTGATCCCGGGGTCCTGGGATTGAGCCCTGCATCGGGCTCCCTGCTCCACGGGAAGCCTGCTTCTCCCTCTGCCTGCCACTCCCCCTACTTGTGCTTGCTCTCTCTCTCTCTCTCTCTCTCTGACAAATAAAATCTTAAAAAAAAAAGCACATGCCCTCAAAGCCCTTCAGGAAACACCTAATTTGTCTGGTATACAATAACACAAGGAGGAAGTTTCCGGAAATTAAACTATCTCCCACCAACCAAGAACTTGGATTACATTTTACTTAACATTTACTCTTCTTCAGACAGAAGAAAAATGATGGCAAAGCAGATGCTCCAAGAATCTTAGAGACTCTTCTACAAACTTTCAGACTTCATGGGACTGTTTAAAGGTGTCTTTAAAACTTATTTATTTGATTAATTTAGCACCTAGATCAGATTTTTAAAACATGAATTTATAGAATTCATAACTCTTCAGCTCATTACTGACAGAAATGTAAACTGTTCTCTATAAGAAAACTCTAAAAACATACCTTTTATTTTCAGCCAAACTGGCTCCTTCATCCTTCAGCTGCTTACTTTTCTCAGCACAGCCCTCAAAGAGAATTTCTTTCCTACGTTTAATGGCATGAAGCCAGTTCCCTTCTTCATTCTCAACTACATCCTTCTCATCGGCAGCTTCAGCTTCAAACTGCTGGGAAGTGACCTTTGAGACCTTCTCGCCAATTTTCCTCTTCCATCCAAAGGAAGCCATTCTGGGAAATTACAAAGAAACAGCTTTAAAATTCAAAGTTGGCCTTTTATATAAGTTCCCCAAATAACAGGTGAAGAAGGGATAACAGAATCAGACTGTCACCACTTTTTAAACTCCTAATTAAATAGTGGATCAAAGCAATAACCAACAAAGGGTGCTCACATCATAAAGAAAGCCAACTGGACAGTAAGTATCTCCTGGTGGAAGGGCCATTCCACCTATGAAGTACCTATGAAGGTCAAAAACTTTTGACCTTATGAAGTCAAAACTTAATCCTGAATCAGATCAAGCCTACCAAACTCTACAGTTTATAAGACCTGTGATGTAGATGAGCACGCTAGATAACATGTCAGAGATGAAGACAGCAAATAACAAAAACTAAAAAAAAATAAAACTGGTTTCTTCAAGAAATAACCTTCCAGGGGAAAAAAGAGAGAAAGATGGAGATAAAAAGAGACCTCAGAGACATACTAACCAAATATAACATACGCATCTTGTTTAGCTCTGGATTCAAACACGCCAATGGGGAGGAAATATTTATGAAATATTAGGGAAAATCAGAACACTGATATTTAATGATATCAAGGAATTATCACTATTGTTTAAGGTATGATAATACTATTGTAATTATGTTTATTAAAAGAATGCTTATCTTTTAGGAATATATACTAAAATATTTCATATGAGATTAAATGATATCTAGAAATTGTTTCAAAGTGATCACCAGGGGTGGGGGGGCAACAGAGGAGAAATATAGATGAAAAGATTACTCTGGTTGACAATCGATAAAGTTAGTTGATACGTACACAGGATTTCTTGTACTTTCTTGTAAACGCTTGAAATTTTCCACAATAAAGAAGTTTTTAAAAGAGTCAAACTTTGTAAATAACTTAAGTCACAGGACTATTGGGTGAATCTAGACGACAACAAATGTTAAACTGTTTTGTAAAGCAGCAGTGATACACGAATGTCAAGGATAAGAAAGAAGGGACAACTGATGAAACAAAATTAAAGAAAACCATAGAAGCATTCAACAAGTATTTATTTAGAGAAGGGATTTACTGAGGGATCCAAGATCACTGATGCACATGGCTGAAATAAAATATAAGTAATCAACAGAAGGGGACAAAATAGGAAAAGGGACTATGAAGTTATTCACATGAAAAGGCCCAAGATAATGGCAGAACTTGGAGGGGTGGGGCGCCTGGGTGGCTCAGTCGTTAAGTGTCTGCCTTCGGTTCAGGTCATGATGCTAGGGTCCTGGGATCGAGTCCCGCATCGGGCTCCCTGCTCAGTGGGTCTCCCACTCCCCCTACTTGTGTTCCTTCTCTCGCTCTCTCTGTCAAATAAATAAATAAAATCTTAAAAAAAAAAAAAAGAACTTGGAGGGGTAAGAAAATTACAGGTCATGTGCCTAAATTCCTAATGAATACAAGGAAGTTTCAATAAATTGTAGCAATCAAGAAATGCACAGGCAGATTCGGGTGAACCATACGCTCTCCACTGGAACAGGGATTGTTCAAAAAGCCCAGGGGAGTAATGTATTATAAGCTATACTAGGGAATTAGGACAATGCCAAACTCTCTCCCCCGACCCATTATAATATAGAAGAATGAGTTTCCTATGTTTGAAGAGGACTATAAGTAACTTAGGGGAAGAACCAAGACATTGCTCAAAAAGAAGTGTGATTACTATGGAACAGAAGGTCAGAGGCACAGAGCGAAGACAATATAAGAGAATAAATCATTAGGAAGGTCTCATAAGATATCAGGATAAGATAGCTAGATAAGAACTCTTGTGTTTATGATTGTCCCTATGACAAGAAGGAGGATGATTACATTTTCTGGCTTCAAGTTTCCAAAGGGAACTTTGATTCTAAATCAGCAATGTGAGGAAGCAGGTAGTATGGGAACCCTGTTAATAGAGGGAGGCAAACTTACTAGAGGCAAATTACATTAGAAATCATTGGTCAGGTCTATATTATTGGGAGCAGCGGTTAAGGTGGAGAGAAAAGGAAAAAGGAACAGAGACCCACATATATTTTTAAAAAAATTAATAGGTAATCAGACTCCCATTACCCTCCCCCATCCTCCAACCCAAACCATTGTTCTAAATGTCAAAGACCCCAGATAGTGGTTCTCAACCATGTATGAAAAAGTCACACACAACACTGCCTCAGGTGTTTCTGCCATCTTCCTCCACAAATCCTTTAAGCTCTTCTAGAGATCAGAGGCTGTGGACGTGAGGAGAGAATGACATTACAGGGATATAAAAGGCCTGATGACCACTAGTAATTGACAAGTTTAGCCTTGAAGAGAGCAAGAATACATTCCTCTCAGACAAAAGAGTTAATATTGGGTGAAAAGTACAGGCAAGTTCAGGGATCGGTGGAAAAGATAATGAAGGATTTCCTACCCCGAAGCTTCACATTTCCCAGAGAAACAGGCAGCTAGCTAGTCATCTCCAAGTAAAGGGAAAAGAAATAGATTTGAGTACTTGAGAAGAATAGAAAAGTTCCAAAATAGTCATTATAGAGAAGGGGAAAATAGGAAAAGCAACAATTAGGGATGAATAAAGATAGCAAACAGTATCAACCTTTTTACCAGGTTAAAAAGCATGAATCTGTGACCAAGGCCATTAGCACAGCTTACTTCAAAACTGTCTGGAGATCACAAGAGCATAGTCAATACACTCCAGAGTAAGTGTTATTAGAGAGTAAACAAAGGATACTATGACTTCAGTGGAGACACTTGAGGCTTCCTGGAGGGGAGCCTGATAAATCTTGAAAAGTAAAAGTTAGCCAGCCTTCAAAGGAGGGTGAGTCCTAGGATACATGCAAAACAGTTTCTAGCCTGAAAAACTTAACACTCAAGAGTTGATTCAGGTATCTCAATTAGTACTAGTTTATTGTTCCTCTAAGGTTATCTGACTTTTTATAAATAAGGCTTTCCTCAATCTATAATTAGATGCACAAGGCGCCAACATCCTAGCCTTTAGGTTTTTCCCCCTGGATAAGAAGTCAAATGGGTAAATCATAATCATATAGGTTTCACGTTAAACTCATGAAACAACACAAATTCAATTTAAACAGACTTAATGAACACCATGAAAACTCTAAACAACAAAGTTGTGTTCTAAATTCTTCTGCTGGTACAATGATCCTTACAGTACGCATTCAATTACCGTGGAAGGCTGGACAGTTGGCCCAGCCACAAGCCGAGAATGCCTGTCTTCAATGCATCGGAGGATGCAGCCCCTAAGGTGAGAAACCACCAGATGAACACCATTAGGAAATCGAAACAGCATCCTTCGGGTACCGGGATGTATTCAGAGATAAGAAATTCAAGAAGCAATTTACCCGAAAATGTCCCCGCAAGAGAGAAACCTGTATTAGCAAGTTCCCCGTGCGAAGTTCATAAAGGCTGCCCTGGACGTCACCCGCGAGTTTACCAAGCCGTCTTCAGCCGCAGACAACCCCATCGCGGGGTGAGAAGCAAGCTCGGTGCCGCTCCTCCCACCGCTAAGGGAAGGTCAAAGCCGCACCGGCCGCCGTGGAAACGCGGAAGCCGCTCCTGACGCAGGCGTAACGGAGGGCCCGACCCCCTAGAACTGCTCCTCTCTAGAGACCAACCTTAGTGTCCCGGCTCTGCCACACCCCTGTTGGGTGTCAACTCCGACGTCTGAAGGTCCTTTCTCCCCTAACCACAAGACCCACCAGCCTTGTTTTCCTCCACTTTCTCCGGCTTCCACCACGGTCAGCGTAAACCCCAGTTACTCGATGACCACTCCCCTGGTCCCGTGTTGACATTGTGCTTGCCCTTTTCCCACCGGAAACGGAAACTAACATGCCCGACCGCCTACCTGCCTGCCTTTGGTGCCAAGTCTCCCAAGAAACTGGCCTGGCCCACCCGGGGCGTCGGAACCATGCAGAGAGACGGGCAGGGAAGAGGCGACTCTCAGAGCCCTTCTGGTTGCCAATCCCTTTCTCGGGACCACAAATCCCAGAAGTCACTGCGGCCGTCCCCACCCCATTACCCTCTGGGATTTGTAGTTTGAGCCACCCGGGGCCGGAGCGCCCTCTAGTAGCCGCCGGGAGCATCTGGCGCATGGGTGACCGCAGTGCGCGAGCGCGGGAAACTACGGCTGCGCACGTTGAGGTGCGCGCAGAGAGGCAGCCGGGGCCAGACTGCATACCCCTTTCGGTCGGCAGGTGAAACAGATGAGGCTGGGGGATTTGGGGGTAGTTCATAGCATTACGATAGGACCCTGCCCTAAAGGACTTTACAGCCTAGCAAAGAGACCGGCCAGACACAGAGGACAGAAGCAAAACGCCATGGGAAAGGGGACCAGGGCAGCAGATCAGGGAGGCCCGGGTTCAACTGTAGGCTTCACGTTGGGAAAAAACAAGTAAGTTGGGCCCAAAAGAATTGTAACTTGAAAGTAGCTGTGGTTTATGTCTTGAAAAAATGTAGTGGGGCAGTGTAACACAGAGAACTGTTTAGGAAATTGGAAAAATTAAGATTGTTAATTTATCGAAATAGCTATCTTGTGCAAAGGAAGATCATTTTTGTAGACCAGGCTTTCTCAACCTCAGCATTATATTTCAAACTGTATCATCTTTGTTGGGGAAAGGGAGGCTTTTCTGTGCGGGGTAGGATATTCAGCAGCATCCCTGGAATCTACCCACTAGATGCCATTAGCATCCACTCCCACCACTACTACCACCAGGTGTGACAAACAAAATTGTCTCCAGTCATTGCCAAACGTCCCTGGAAGAAAAATTGTTCCCCCACTCCCGCCCCACTGAGAACAGCTGTTGTGGAACAATGATGCTCCAAAGTGATCCTCAGATCCCTGAGGGTTGCCAAGACCTTTAAAAACTATTTTCGAGTTCACAGGAAGACATCATTTGCCTTTTTCACAATATTGACATTGCACTGATAATGGAAAAGCAGTGGTGGGTAAGACTGATGGCAGCTCAGCTGGAATCAAAGCAGTGATACCAAACTCTGCTAGTTGTCCTTGTATTCTTCTCCACCACACTCATGGTACATACATACATACATACAGTACATACTTGTATTCACACTCATGGTACATACATACATACATACAGTACATACACACTCATGGTACATACATACAGTACATACTTGTATTCACACTCATGGTACATACATACATACATACAGTACATACTTGTATTCACACTCATGGTACATACATACATACATACAGTACATACAGTACATACTTGTATTCACACTCATGGTACGTACATACATACATACAGTACATACTTGTATTCACACTCATGGTACATACAGTACATACATACAGTACATACAGTACATACTTGTATTCACACTCATGGTACATACATACAGTACATACTTGTATTCACACTCATGGTACATACATACATACACACAGTACATACAGTACATACCTCTCTCTCTCTCTCTGGTACATACATACACTCAAGAATGTCCTCCACCACCTCTCTCTCTCTCTCATACATACACTCAAGAATGCCCTTCATGAAGCAGTACTCTCTCTCTCTCTCACCCTTGATACTCATATAGTACTTCTCCTGTATATTCTCTCTCTCTCTCTCAAGTAAAAGCACTTGTGAGATTGCATTATAAACTGACTCTCTCTCTCTCTCGTGGAATACAACTCTTATTGAGAAAAACACCACCAGCAGTTCTGCTGGTTATTCAGGCTTGGGTTTGTGACAGGCCTTATCATGAAACTCTCTCTCTCTCTCCTGTTAACTTCAAGAAAAACAATTCACAGTGTTGCCCTCTCTCTCTCTCTCTATCATAGAAGTGTATCATATAGAAGTATGTAACTTCTCTCTCTCTCTCTCAAAGACACAAAGGCAGTGGCATGTTTCTTAATATGGCTCTCTCTCTCTCTCGCCGTGTTCACTGCAAACCTAAAACACTGAAAATTCCTCTCTCTCTCTCTCTAGGATTTGGCACTTTTCTATGTTATATACTTCTATCTCTCTCTCTCTCTCCATTTATCTCCCTGACAAGACACTCAGAGCAGGATTCTCTCTCTCTCTCTCCATTCTTAGTGCTTGGTTCATAGTAGCTATGAGGGGATACAGTTTACAGAGTGAATAAGTGGTGCTTGAAGCTGTACCCCTTTCTAGCTCTCTCTCTCTCTCCTCAAATAATTTTCCTCTGGTAAAGGCTACCTCCAACTCTCTCTCTCTCTCCTTCACCCATCACTTACTTTAGCCTATGAACTTGAGCTCTCTCTCTCTCTCTTTAATACATTTCTCATGCTGTTTATTGACAATATGATCATCTTCCAAGTTGCTAGAAACCCTCTGTTTATTATAGTTAACATTTACCTCTCTCTCTCTCTCATAGAACAGTCTATTTGTCTACAATAGAACAGTTCAATAAATATTGATTTTTCAAACAAGAGAATTTATTGTACAATTTTATACAGTCAGGGTAAATAAATATCTGTAGCAATTTATAAATTCCCTAAAGAACAATCTTATATGCTGTTGATAACATTCTTTAGAACTGTTGTTACAATTGTCAAACTATTTTAAAGATTTAGAATGCCAACAATCTAGCCCAATCAAGCCCTAACAATGCTCTCTCTCTCTCTCGTTCATCATAGTTGAATTCTAACAGTAGTGGAATTCCTCTCTCTCTCTCTCTTAATAAGGAAAACTGGTAACCACTTTGGCTTTTATCTCTCTCTCTCTCTCATATTGTTCAGGTGGTTAGTTTTTAGATGAAGTCAAAGATCAGTAATTTTGTTGTTGAGACAAAAATCACAATGTTTGAGTGTGAAGGTGTGTCTAAGCATGACACTTTATATTTAGACACATTGTCAAAAAGGTGCACAGGTGGTCAGTTAGGAACAGGTGCTTTTTTTTAGCTTTCCCAGAAGTTAAAAAATTTAAGCACAATGTAACATGAAAAATGTTTTTATCATCCGCTTTCTAAATCAAAGTATTTTAAATTATATGCTTAAATATACCCCAGTCAAAACATAAATGAACACATCTGAGATACTGTACCACAAAGATTGATTTCACCCTATTACCAATTGATAGTTATGTTCTATATGGGACTTCAATCATCTTGTCAGGAGAATTCACAATGAAAATGAGATTTCTGTGCCTGGAGAAGATGAACAAGAGTTAGGGGGAAAGATTTAAACACCACACGTGTGTCTTTCATTCGGAGGGTGCCAGGCAGAGCAGAGATGCACAGAGCTCTCCATCCTGCCATAGTCCACCAAGCATTCATTGTGAGTGGTAGCGCTGCAAGGTCAAAAAGCAGGGAAGGGGGGGTGGAGAGTGAGAGCACAGGACTTTCTGTACAAAATCATTTAAAACTCTGAAAAACTACAAAAGCATCTCAAGAGAAAATATAACCGAAGTAAAAGCAATGGAGTTTATTTCAGTGAAATTAAATTAGATATATTAAGCTCCCATATCCCCCCAACCTGGTAGAAAAGTTCCTCTCGGTGAGAAATCATTTATTTTAATGGCAAAATTTTTCTCTCTCTCTCTCTCCTGTTATATTTAAAACTATGTATACAGTACATTTCTGGCAAAAACCTTATACATCTTTCAGTTGTCAAGACAAAGTAAAAATATGGTCTCTCTCTCTCTCTCAAAATATAAATTGCTGAAAAGATAATAAAAAAAGATCTCTCTCTCTCTCTCTTGACTCCCTTATATCTTCAGTTAGTAAGAATTTGCCTCTCTCTCTCTCTCTTGAAAATTCTGATGCAACCTTGACATATTCAACCACTCTCTCTCTCTCTCAATGTCCCAGCTTAAAAAAGAATTTACTGCAATAATCTCTCTCTCTCTCTCACTATTTGTACAAGTGCAATATTTAAATATCTTCAAAATAAAATTCAGTGACTAAAAGGAATCACAATAACTTAATAAGAAGCAAACCTCTCTCTCTCTCTCATTTTTAGAAGGTCCTATTTAATTGGTTCCTCCTTTCTCTCTCTCTCTCTCCCCCAACAGCTTATAGAGACATTATGAAGATGTCTTCTCTCTCTCTCTCTCTCTGTAACTTTAAAAATAGTCTTCTGTTCTTAACATCAGAAACATAATGTTGCATTTATAGACCCTACATTAAATCAATATCCCCAAAACACAGGGCCACATACAGTTATAAATACAGTTTTGAACTTAAAGTTGAATCTCTCTCTCTCTCTCCAGCTTTCAGATTCTAAGTTGAATAGACAAGCCCTGGACAAAAAGAAGCAAGATTTTTGTTTTGAACTCAGTGCATGTTTCTAGGGGCTCTCTCTCTCTCTCTACAACTACAGTTAACTATGCAAGCTATTAAGACACCTCTCTCTCTCTCTCCCTGGTTACATAGGTGCTCACTGTATTTGCCAAAAACTCTCTCTCTCTCTCAAGGTATGAAATGAGAAATAAGATAGCTCTTTTGCACTCTCTCTCTCTCTCATACCAAAAAAATCAATATCTTGATGTTAAAATAGTCTCTCTCTCTCTCTCGTGATAGAGTATTTTTTATTTTTTATTAGCATACACATGACACCAATTTTAACTGAGGTGACTTTAAATTTTCATTTACAACTACTACTCTCTCTCTCTCTCAAAAAGGAAAGAGCAAGGAAAAGAAAATATAGAGATCTCTCTCTCTCTCTCTAAGCATCTTTAGGCAGTTCCCACAATGCTACTTTTTAAAAAGTGATTAAAATCCAAAACATATGTGACCATTTAGAACTAACTGATCTGTTCCATATTTTACTGAAATAATGTCATATCTGACTAAGGAGACATAACCTCTCTCTCTCTCTCAACTTTCACTGAATCCTGGTTTGAAATAATGAGCTACTCTCTCTCTCTCTCGGACAACCGGGGAAACCTAAATATGCATGATTAGATGACATTAGGGAATTACCAATTTTATAGTAGCATTATAGTTTTTTAGGAAAATGTCATTATTTTTAGGAGATGCTTGAAGTGTTGCGGGTGATTAAGTATGTCAGCAACATCCAAATGGTTCAGGGGGGAAAGCATATATGTATATACATATATCTCTCTCTCTCTCTCTATATACACAACTGTATCTATATACATATATAGACACTCTCTCTCTCTCTCAAAATGTTGACCAGTGTGGAATCTAAGTGGTAGATACACATGTGATCACCCAACAGCCTTTCAATTTTTGTTTTTAAAAATGTTCATCTCTCTCTCTCTCTCAAAAAGTCTTATCTGAGCATTTAAACAGTTTGTAAGCTCTCTCTCTCTCTCTACATCAAATTAAAAGATACATAATTGAATAGAAATCTCTCTCTCTCTCTCAATACTGACATGAGCAGCGAAATTTGTGAGACTGATCTCTCTCTCTCTCTCTTATAGTATATGCAACTCAGCTCTTGTGACAAAAAGAGAAATTTATGTACAGAATATAGTGAGACAAATTGTAAGATCTACCTTAGTGCCTAGAGTATCTGAATATTTAAGTTCTGTGCATTTTTGGACTTACCAAGCCTCTCTCTCTCTCTCAATTATGTCTAGTATCTTTGATGTGCTTACCAGATACTCTCTCTCTCTCTCGGGAGACACATGGAAGAGTCATCCAGACTGTCACTACTGTTGGAAGATACTTGCTCTTTAAGAAGATAAGGAGCCCCCAAAAAAAATCTCTCTCTCTCTCTCCTGGGGATTCTAGGCAAATATTTATTGAATAAATTTCTCTCTCTCTCTCTCAACACATCAACATGTAATAATATATGAAGGCCTTTACTCTCTCTCTCTCTCCTACAAAGCCCTGTGTACACTAAATATAAAATAGCCCTCTCTCTCTCTCTCCTGAGAGACCTATAATTCATTGTGAATATTACATTACTCTCTCTCTCTCTCGAACAATGAACAACAAAATTATCTTAATTCATTTTTGCACATTAGGCTTTTAACTATTATCATATTCCAATTCCTGTGCAAACTGCACTCTCTCTCTCTCTCCCTCAGTTATAATTATGTATAACTTGATTATAAATGCTCTCTCTCTCTCTCGATTTATTATGCATGCTTATTGCTATCAAAGAAATAAGCAAAGTTTTAGGTTTACTGTGCAAGAATTTTAATTAGATTCGCACACATCTCTCTCTCTCTCTCAGTGTGACTTCCAGGTCTTGGAGTTAAGTCAACAGGCTCTCTCTCTCTCTCGGTCAAAGATGAGGTAAGAGAAGCTTCTGCGGATTTCTCTCTCTCTCTCTCATCTGAATCATTCCTTTGGCAAGATCGATAGTTGCTCTCTCTCTCTCTCTCCTGTGGAGTAGCAGTCCCTGATTTGGCTTCAGTAATCTCTCTCTCTCTCTCAAATTTCAATGTATTATAATCCATGACACCCCCCAACTCTCTCTCTCTCTCTAATTTGCTCCTTTGAGACCACTGACCAGCTATCAACTCTCTCTCTCTCTCGAATACTTTCTAAAATAGAGGTGATGAGTCTGTGTTCTCTCTCTCTCTCTCTTTCCTTACAGTATGTATTCTCCTGATGGCCAATTACTCTCTCTCTCTCTCCATAGTTACTCATCAGTCTTGCAATCCAAAGTTAAGCTCTCTCTCTCTCTCTAACGTGGGGCTCAATAAACATCCTTCCCTAGCAATCTCTCTCTCTCTCTCTGTATTAAAATCATTGAATAAATACACTTAAAATTTGGAAATAATACTGGAAATCACCTCATCCAACTCTTTGTTCTACTGATAAAACTCTCTCTCTCTCTCAAAAAGTGAAGTGACTTGCCATAGGTAATAAACGAACTCTCTCTCTCTCTCAGAACCTGCATCTCCTATTATTTCAGTAGCTTTTACCTCTCTCTCTCTCTCTCATATTTAAGATCTCATAAAAGAGCAACGATTCCACTCTCTCTCTCTCTCGGAAAGCCTAAAGTTGGGAACAGAGTACAAAAACAGCTCTCTCTCTCTCTCCCTGGGTGGCTCTGTCAGTTAAGCATCTGCCTTCAGCTCTCTCTCTCTCTCCAGAGTCCTGGGATCGAGCCCCTCATCGGGCTCCCTCTCTCTCTCTCTCTCCTCCCTCTGCCTGCCGCTCCCCCTGCTTGTGCTCACCTCTCTCTCTCTCTCTAATAAATAAAATCTTTAAAACAAAACAAAACAGTACTCTCTCTCTCTCTCGGCAAACCCAGGGGCTAGTAAACCCAAGGTTATAAACTCTCTCTCTCTCTCATGAGAAATACAAAATCCATTCCATATTGCAGACTACTCTCTCTCTCTCTCGCAGATAAACAGCATCTGGACGGAGAGATAAGCAGACTCTCTCTCTCTCTCAGTATATCACCACTCAGACCTGTGTCTTTCTGATACCTCTCTCTCTCTCTCCTTTGGTTTATAAAGAAGACAAAAAATTCATAGGTACTCTCTCTCTCTCTCTTCCATATAATCTTAGATGAACAGAGTGGTAATATATCTTAACTGATTTGGCCAATGAAGAACTGCCATAAACTTGTACTTAAATAAAGGCTCGGTTTGTGAGAGAACATTTATATATACAGTTATATTCTGTTATAATGCTGGGACAGAGAGAGTATTTACCTGAATTTTGAATCACCTGTGTTCCATCAAGCTTTTTAATAGATAACACAAATTAGTTTTTAAGAGGGTATTCCCATGGGAGATCTGAATTAATATAAATTTTAGGGGTGCCTGGGTAGCTCAGTCGGTTAAATGTCCAACTCTTGATTTCGGCTCAGGTCATTATCTCAGGGCATGGGACTGAACCACGCATAGGGCTCCATGCTCAGTGGGGAATCTGCTTAGGATTCTCTCTCTCCCTCTGCCCCTTTCCCTCTCACTCTCTCTCACTCTCAAATAAATAAATAAAATCTCTTTTAAAAGATTTATTTATTTGAGAGTGAGGACATGAGAGAGAGAGCACGAGCAGGGGGAGTAGCAGAGGGAGAGGGAGAAGCAGACTGCTCGCTGAGCAGGGAGCCCAATGCAGGACTGGATCCCAGGACCCTGAGATCACTCTCTCTCTCTCTCGCAGACGCTTAACCGACTGAGTCCCCCAGGCACCCCCTCTCTCTCTCTCTCTTTTTAAAAAAATAAATCTCAAACCATGTTTGGTATCACACCATTTACTAAAAGTCTATTATAGTCTACTCATATACATACACTGGGCTCTCTCTCTCTCTCCCCATGTAAAAATAAAAACAAGAACAAAAACGTCTACTTTCTGCAGTTAATAATTTACCTCAACCTAATCAGTCTAAATAGTTAAGACTCTCTCTCTCTCTCTACATAATGGTAATCAAAGACACTTTCCAAATACAGCTCTCTCTCTCTCTCATATTAAAACAGTAAAACAATATTTAACATTTCTTTCTCTCTCTCTCTCTCGGTACTTTAAATATTTTATACTGCAGTAAGGTCACCCTCTCTCTCTCTCTCTAAAATAGCCAACTAAAAGGTTGAATATTTCAGTGACTCTCTCTCTCTCTCATCTCTGTTTATGACTGTAGGTAAATAGAAATGCACCTCTCTCTCTCTCTCAGGTTAACAATGTCACTTTTAACTAATTATGACAGTCTCTCTCTCTCTCTCATGCTTTAGTCCCAGGAATCCTTATACAGTGCCTCCCTCTCTCTCTCTCTCATTATTGGGCGCCTGGGTGGCTCAGTCAGTTAAGCGTCTGCCTTCAGCTCAGGTCATGATCCCAGGGTCCTGGGATTGAGCCCCGCACTCTCTCTCTCTCTCAGCAGGGAGTCTGCTTTCTCCCTCTCTCTCTGCCTGCTCTCTCTCTCTCTCGTGGTCTCTCTCTGTGTCAAATAAACAAAATCTTTACTCTCTCTCTCTCTCTTATTTAAGAACACTTTATTGAGAGACAGATAAAATCTCTCTCTCTCTCTCGAAAAATAACCCTAAGTCCCTAACCTGTCCAAAACACTCTCTCTCTCTCTCCCTGCAAGAAACCTAACTCAACAAATAATTTTTTTTCTCTCTCTCTCTCTCCGTGAGCCCTTTTTTTTTTTTTTGGAAAGATTTTATCTCTCTCTCTCTCTCAGAGAGACAGAGCGAGAGAGGGAACACAAGCAGGGGCTCTCTCTCTCTCTCAAGCAGGCTCTCTGCCGAGCAGGGAGCCCAATGAGGCTCTCTCTCTCTCTCCCCTGGGATCACGACCTGAGCCGAAGGCAGATGCTTCTCTCTCTCTCTCTCGGCGCCCTCGACAAACAATTTCTTGTCCTATGAGCTCTCTCTCTCTCTCTCTCACATTGCCTTATCAGTCAACTCTAAAAGCTACTTCTCTCTCTCTCTCTCAATGAAAAATAAAAATATTAAATATCAGATATAAAAAAATACTAGTCAACATTTATTTCCAAATAAAACATTTTATCTTATCAAAATGAACCACACCAAAAAACAGAAATGTGGCAGAAACTATCACTTTAGGATCAGCTCTCTCTCTCTCTCAAGACAATCTTAAAAGGACAATACACAGTAAGATTACGAGAAAAACACGACTCATAAATGTCTACATCACAGAGGCACAAAATCACACTCTCTCTCTCTCTCGCTATTGAATTACTAGGAAGAATTCAAGAAACTTCACTCTCTCTCTCTCTCAAAAAGCCAAGTTAGGTAACAAGTCCAGTATGTCAACTCTCTCTCTCTCTCGGATGTACATACCATCAATACTACGGAAATCCAGTAAGTACGTTCTACTATCCACTTGGTATAACTGTAGACTCATTTTGGAGTATGCTCTCTCTCTCTCTCTCTTCCTTCGAACGCGCAAATAATAGGGGTTTACAACCTGGTATATGGTATGGACAAAAACAAAATCAAAAGCAATTCTTCTAGAAACTCTCTCTCTCTCTCCAGGTTTGCCAAATGTGCTTAAAATCAGAATGCCCTTTCTTTCTTACCTTCCATTCATAATCCAGCTGTTTAATTGCTCTACAAACTCTCTCTCTCTCTCTCTTTGGTCGACTTTGACTTCTAATTCCCAAATGCCATCTCTCTCTCTCTCTCCCTTGGTGTTTGGATTTCTGTGGATTTAATTCATCGCTCTCTCTCTCTCTCCTTGGTGTTTCAGCAACCAAGAATGGTACTCTTTCACTCTCTCTCTCTCTCAAATGGTGATCATCGAGAAAAGAATCAGGTGGGCTTCTCTCTCTCTCTCTCTCTTTGGCCTCATTCATTATTCTCCTATTATCTATTCTCTCTCTCTCTCTCACTGCCAAAGGGTCCTGGTGATTTCTGTTATAAAGGCTCTCTCTCTCTCTCTCTTCTGAGCACTCAAATTTTTCACATACTTCTTTTCTCTCTCTCTCTCTCATCATGGTTGAACTATATGATGGATCCTCGGGAAAACTCTCTCTCTCTCTCTCTTGTTTAAACCATTCATGTTCCCTGAGAGAAAATCTCTCTCTCTCTCTCAGGATTTTGAGTAGAGATGAGACTGCAAGTAACAGTCTCTCTCTCTCTCTCTATGAATTCACTTATATTTATATTCATATTGTATTTCTCTCTCTCTCTCTCGAGACTTTCCTCTTCTGGCTCACATTTCATTGTGTACTCTCTCTCTCTCTCTCCAACCACCTTCTGGTTTTAAGAGGGAGAAAGCAGCTCTCTCTCTCTCTCAAAAGATATGTCTACACTTTTATTTAAAGTTTTGGCCTCTCTCTCTCTCTCCAATATTCTGCGGCTTCATTATAATTCTCTTCTGATATAATGTTAGGTGAAAAAACCGTAACAACAAAAACAGACAAGTACCATTCACTCTCTCTCTCTCTCGTGGTAGGTTTTAGGCTAAATACTTAACTATACATTCTCTCTCTCTCTCTCACAATTCTATGAAGATAATAACATCTCCTCATTTTTAATGAAGGAACTGAGAGTTTCCTAACTTCATATATAAAAGGATATGTTTGACTCTCTCTCTCTCTCAAACAGCTAAAACTAAAAACATCAAGAAAGGAAAACCTCTCTCTCTCTCTCGACTATCTTCTGGGTGACAGAATTAAAGATCATTTTCTCTCTCTCTCTCTCGGGTGTTTTCTAATTCCAGTTGTCAATTCCAATTGTCACATATTACATTTAAATTGTAAAAAATATGTAAAACACAAGAAAAAGCATCTTTCACTTAGATATTTTAAATTTTAGAGGATGACTTGTCCTTTTCCACAGCTCTCTCTCTCTCTCCTTTCCATATGAAACTTACAAACCAGTAATTTCACACTCTCTCTCTCTCTCACTACCTCAAAATCACACATGTCATTGGTGAAGTTAAAATGTCCTCATTACTCGAGATAAAAGAAAAAACAGAGTAATTCAAAAGATCTCTCTCTCTCTCTCGACACAAATTTACTACTACTGAAAAGCATTAATCTTAATGAGAATACATAAAAGTCAAATATGAGGCATACTACAGAAAATCTTGAACTCTCTCTCTCTCTCTAAAATCCCACCAGGGTCCTTTTTATTTCACATTAGCTATTTTTTCAAATTTAAAAACAAATATAATATTCATTGTTACAATTTCAACTCTCTCTCTCTCTCGTAAAAAGCCTTGAAAGCCCTTCCTACTACTTATCTCTCTCTCTCTCTCTCGCCTGTTCAGTGTGTATTTTTAAATACCAAAATAAACTCTCTCTCTCTCTCTATTTTTTAACATAAAAATGGCATTACATTGTACATCTCTCTCTCTCTCTCTTTCTTTCACTTAACTTGTATCATTGAAACTATTAGCTCTCTCTCTCTCTCAGCTGCATAATTACCTGATATCTTTGATTGTGGCCCCTCTCTCTCTCTCTCCCTGTAGCATATGTTTCAAAAGGCTAATCACAGACGCTCTCTCTCTCTCTCGGGTATAAAAGATCCCATCACATATCTTCTTAAAAACTCTCTCTCTCTCTCCATCATCAAATGGAAGGGTTCCACATAATAAAGCATCTCTCTCTCTCTCTCTGCTCCATATATCTACCTCTGGACCTGCATACAATCTGTAACAGGAAATATCAATTGGATTAAATAATCATAGTAACTTGAGAGCCACTCTCTCTCTCTCTCATTTTCAATATGGATACTTCATAAAGAATTATTAGACTCTCTCTCTCTCTCCCATTGCTACACACTACATATAAGGATTCTATACTACTCTCTCTCTCTCTCTCTTTGAAAACAAGTCAAGAATTTAAGTTTAGACTACTCTCTCTCTCTCTCTCTTACTACCTTACTATGGTCCTTATAAAATCAATTAAGAATGTTCTTTAAACCCACTGTCTCCCAATAACCCAAGACCTCCTACCACTCTCTCTCTCTCTCGAGGCTATGGCAGAAAGCCAAGCTGACTGGTTCACACTCTCTCTCTCTCTCGTATTTGCAATACACTAGCCAACTGACTTAACTACCCTCTCTCTCTCTCTCAAAGTCTGGTTTTGGGGAAAGAATGTTTATAAACTGCTCTCTCTCTCTCTCGAACTGATCCATAAATATCGCTTTGAGTACAAGTTCCTCTCTCTCTCTCTCTCACAGGAAGACCTTATCCAAACTGGAAAAGCAGACCTCTCTCTCTCTCTCTGTATATATGCACATTTACAATACATTTCTTTTGTTTATTTAATTAACACTGCCGCAAGGTCTTGAACTGTTTTCTTCCAAAACAAACTCTCTCTCTCTCTCGAAGTAATTTAAAAACATTTTCTGAACATTAGGCTGCTCTCTCTCTCTCTCGATGAACCTTGATAAATTTAAAATTAGATACTTCTGCTCTCTCTCTCTCTCTGCCTTTACCCAAATATAATTTCTCTGAGCACACTACTCTCTCTCTCTCTCGAAAACAGACAGAAAATACTGTAGTACTTCTGCATTCTCTCTCTCTCTCTCAAGCTTTGCGCAGTGGCAGTATCGTAGCCAATGAGGCTCTCTCTCTCTCTCATTATTGCTAACTGAATTAGGATGTGAAACATTCAAAGAAACATGGTTTTAGTGTAAATTAATAAAAGTTAATTACAAAAATTAGTACTCTCTCTCTCTCTCCTGTTTTCAATTTCAGTAGGAGAGTGAAGAACAATAACTTTAAAAAATTAAATTTTCCTGCCATCTAAGCTATTTGAAAGCTGCGCTCTCTCTCTCTCTCTCAGCAATGGCTATAGAAACCATACTCCTGTTCTCAATCTCTCTCTCTCTCTCGTTCGAATTCTTATAATACTGTAGTCTCTAGAAGATCTCTCTCTCTCTCTCTCAAAATAAATGAGTCTGATGATTTTATCATATTTACTCTCTCTCTCTCTCGACACCTTATCATAAACATAAAGCTACTACAGAATGCTCTCTCTCTCTCTCGCCTGGGTGGCTCAGTGAGTTAAGCATCCAACTCTTCTCTCTCTCTCTCTCATGATCTCAGGGTTCTGGGATCAGGCTCTGAGCTCACTCTCTCTCTCTCTCGAGGAGTTCCTCCCTCTCCTTCTGCCCCACCCCCAACTCTCTCTCTCTCTCTAAAATAAATAAACATATCTTAAAAAATGCCTTCTACTCTCTCTCTCTCTCGTACACATTACACTTTTAACTCTTCATCTAAGTAAACTCTCTCTCTCTCTCTAGGTATTAATATATTCAAGTTTTTAATGTCTGACCTTTAAAACTTGCTAGTTTTAGGGTACCTGTGGCTCAGCCGGCTGGGCCTCTGACTCTTGATTTTGGCTCAGGTCTTGATCTCAGGGTCCTGAGATTGAGCTCCCCCATCAGACTCCATGCTCTGCAGGGAGTTTGCTTAGTATACTCTCTCTCCCTCTCCCCTCCCCAACCTCATAGGCACACACCCACGTGCTCTCTAAAATAAATAAATAAATCTTTAAAGAAAAAAAAACTTGCTAGTCTTAAACCTTCAATTTCTACTGGGGGGAAAAAAGTGAGAAGTATTCTGATCTAACTACTTTATAGATGATATTGACTTGCAAACCAATATTCTCTTCTATAAATGGAATCCTTAATTCTTACTTATGTTTTATTCTTAAAACATAACACTTTCTGGATAAGGACTCTCTCTCTCTCTCATGTCTTTCTTTCCCTAGAATTTAATATGACACTACAGACAAAATCTAAGAGAAAAAAAAATTATATAAATGTACAAGGGTGGAAGACTCTCTCTCTCTCTCTACCTTCCTGAAATTACTTCTGGTGCAGCATAGTTGCTCTCTCTCTCTCTCGTTCTTAAAAATTCACCATCTGACATCATGTTTGAACTCTCTCTCTCTCTCCAAAATCAATATTCAAGACTTCCCAAGGACAAAAATCTCTCTCTCTCTCTCCTGAACAGTAAAACTGAGTTTGCATTGAAGTGATAAATCATCATTTTGTCCTTTGCTTCAACAAATTCTGTCTTTACTGTTTGCAAACTCTCTCTCTCTCTCCCCTAAAACTTGTAATCTATTTCAGCATTTAAAGTTAGTGCATTAATTGGAATTTAATGAGTATATATTAAGCTACTGGTTATTCCGCTTACTAGAATAAATTTGGCATATTTAAATTTATTAATATGGAAACTACTAGGGAAAAAATATACAACAGATGAGTAGAAGAATTAAAATTCAAAGTTTCTACTCTCTCTCTCTCTCATTCTTTAAAAAATAAAATAAAATAAAATAAAAAGACTCTCTCTCTCTCTCTCAAAGTTTCCTCATAGTTTTACTGCAAAAAGAAACCTCTGCCTCCTCAAAAATGCATTAGGTAAAATAATCATGACAAGAGCGCCTGGCTGGCTCAGTTGCCAGCATGCAGCTCTTATCTCAGGATTATGAGTTCAAGCCCCAGGTTGGGTACAGAGATTATTTAAAAATAAAATCATTAAAAAAAAACTCTCTCTCTCTCTCTCATCATGACAACTGAGGAGTAAGGAAGTCAAATAATTGTCAGCAGCAAACCAGTAGCTCAGAGCTGATTGGCAGTGCTCAACGAATCTCTCTCTCTCTCTCTACACATATCCCAAACTGAGGAAAATAGTTACAACACTCTCTCTCTCTCTCAACTGAAGCTAAGCAAAAGAGAGTAGCAGAGATTCACTCTCTCTCTCTCTCTAATGTCAGTGGCAATTTACATAGAAAATAAAGGAAAAATAAATTCATTTTTGACAATCAAAATAATGTTCCTCCAAGCTGAAATTACTCTCTCTCTCTCTCTAAAATATTTTACTTTTTTTTTTTTTAATAATTTTGCTCTCTCTCTCTCTCTTCTGGCTTTCAGAGTTTGAGTAACTCCATTCCAGTCTCTCCTCTTGCTCTATACTTGATCAAAAGAACACACTGGAAATAAGGTTGCTCTCTCTCTCTCTCCAAATAAGTCTCAAATCAAATGATGCTTCTAAGGCTCTCTCTCTCTCTCTCTTACCTACTGTCGTAAGACTCAATTCTAAAGACATACTCTCTCTCTCTCTCTCCTTATCTCTTCTCCTTTTTGTATGTTCATAGACACTCTCTCTCTCTCTCACTATTTGGGGGTACTCAATCCACTGCACAGAAGTACTCTCTCTCTCTCTCCTGGGTGGCTCAGTCGTTAAGTGTCTGCCTTCAGCTCGGGTCATGATCCCGGGGTCCTGGGATCGAGTCCCACATCAGGCTCCTTGCCTCTCTCTCTCTCTCCTTCTCCTTCTCCCTCTACTGTTCCCCCTGCTTATGCTCTCTCTCTCTCTCTCT